ACACACACACACAGACACAGACACAGACACACAGACACACACAGCTCAGTGTGAACAGACGCATTAACGAGCTGTTTACAGTTGAACAGTTTAATGAGGAGATGTTAGCAGTTAGCCGCGGAGCTACATTACCTCTGTCCGGATACAGCCGCCACACCGAGGGCCTTAGAAACTAAAGCTCCGGATTCTTTGGACGGTTTGAGTGAGTGTGGTGTTAATGTCCACGGAGACCGATGGTTCATTTAGATTATAACCACAGGAGTGTCAGAGGAGCGAAGAGAAGCGGGAGTGCGGCCTACCTTCCTTTATCCTGTCGCTCCCAGGCTGGGCCATCACAGGCGAGCTAACAGGCTAACAGCAGCTAGGCTAGCTTATCAGCTAGCTCGGCCAAAAACGGGAAATGTGGCCGCTGCAAATACCGAAGTGACCGCCGCTAACATCGGTGTGAGACGGTTAATGTGAGCAACAACTTCCGCTGACATCAACGAGCAACATCCAGAGAAGCGAGGAGCAGAACAGGAAGCGTTTCTAAGGCTTTGATCTTTGATTAGCTGCCCGACGACAACTGCTATTGCGCAAGTAGCCAGCGGCTAGCTAGCCACAGGCTGATCAGCAGATCACCGATCAGAGCTCATCGAACCTGCTCTGACGAAACAGCAGAACAGACGTACATTATGACGTCACGACGAACAACACAATAAAGATCATGTTTTAAAACTGTGGATTCATTATTTTAGATTTTTATTCAACTGGGAAACTATTTACATTTCACCAGCAAGAGGAAACTCGTGCACTACTACTACTACTACTATCAATATTTTATTCAACTGGGAAACTATTTACATTTCACCAGCAAGAGGAAACTCGTGCATCGATTGGAAACCCTGTAAATAATTGATGTTATTAACCGGACTTTAAAATATTTTTATTAACGAGAACAAAGTACTACAAAGTAAAACTTTGAATCAAGTACTATCACAGGTTTGTATGTTTAAATAATTCCAATAATAATTATAATAATAAATGTAAAGTACTTACACGAGTCAAACAATGGAACATGAGAACAGAAATGACATCATTGAATCATTGAGTCCCTTCAACTCATACACATCATACATCTCTGAGAAATCAGTGAAAATATTAAAACACTTAATCTCACGATACAAGAGATACAAATAAAATCTACTGAGCCATAATACACCGTCTGCAAGTTTACTGGAAATCAAACAAACACAGATGGAACACAGCTTCCGCTGGAGAAGAACAACTTGTCGGTGTAATACATTTAGAAGCTAAATACAGAACCACATGATTCAGAAAAGCTTTCATAAAAAGATGGATTTAAAAGAAGCTGGAGTCTGAGTCTGTCTGGGATCGACACCTGAAAGACCCAGTGACCAGCAGCCTCCACCCACCGGTCTGTGGTCGAGAGGAGACGGAGCCGCTCCACAAGTCTGGAGGTGTTTGGATGCGAGGCCATTAAAAAGTGAGATGTAAGATTGAGCAGAACCGGAGCTGAGAGGAGCAGCTCTGCAGCATTGTGCCCCAGACAGTGGAGGGAGCTCTGCTCTATGAGACGATACAGAAACATGCACACATTTAAAAAATCTGCAAATAAACAGGACTGAACAACATTCTTCACTCAAAGCTGAGGATTGTGTCAAACAGCTCAAGATTTCAAACAGTCCGACGTTTTTCCACAGATCCGAACGAGACGCAGCAGCAGAGCAGCTGAGGACAGGACGACCTCAGAGTCATTGTCCCTGAACTTAAGAAACTGTGGAGGACACATCCAGCAGAGCGTCATTAGACAGTGTGTGTGTGAGTATATAAAATATATTGATATAAACTTTCAATCACTTTCATCATCATCACTTGAATGTTGCTGGAACTGAGTTGATCTCATCGACTTTTATTTTGTGTCTCTTCCTTCTGTTGAACACTTTGTTCTTCTTCCCTTTTCAGGCGTCAGCTCAGCTCGACTCGTTACCCTGAGAGGGACGAGCACACGGGATGGAATCCACGGAGCAGCAGCAGGTTCTGGAGACAGATGTTCTAAAGAGAGTCTGGTTCCTCAGACACGACCGCAGCAGAACGTCACTCACACACTGTCACCATGGAAACTGTGAATCCTCTGGTTCTCTGCTCTGATGAGCTCATCGCCCGAGAACTCTTCAAACATTTGGTTCAAAACTTTGAGAAAGAAACTGAACGTGATTCTGAGAAGAGTGAGAGCAGAGGTTCTTTAATGAGGACACACAACCACACAGACAGACACAGACACACACAGACACACAA